AAACGAATACCTCGGTGTAAGGAGTGCACAAATATTGTGATGGTTTTCGAGTCCTCATTTTGTCGTGTGGAACTTCTTTGCCATCATACTCATCAAAATAGTCTACAACTGCCGTAATTCTTATTACATCTTCGTCCGACACCTAATTTAATAACCAATAATCTCTAATTATAAATAAGTTTCAATATACTAAAAACAAAATATAATTTAATGTAAGTATAAGAACCTCTTTAGCTTCACTATAATCATTTACGTCAAACACCTCATCATCAAATTTGTTCCCCGTATTGTCATTCCTCTCCTCCGACTCCTACATTAAAAATAAAACTTTATACTTAATAACGAAATACACATAATTTAATAAGCAATAATATCTAATTAAATAAATGATTTAATCTACTAAAAACAATATATAAATTAATGTAACTATAAGAACCTCTTTAAATTCAGTATAATCATTTACATCAAACACATCATCATCAAATTTGTTCCCCGCATAGTCATTCCTTTCCTCCAACACCTACATTAAAAATATAACTTTTTACTTAATAACGAAAGACACATTATTAAAAAGTAATTATTAAAATCGTAAAGGTAATATCTATAACAACCTTGTCGTCTTGAATATCACCAAATACATTTTCAGTTGTATTGTTTTTATTCAACACTTCATCTTGCACAACCTATATTTTCAAATATAAAATATGAACACATGTATTCATATTTGTTAATAAAATTTAAAAAATAATGTAGCGTGTAACTAACCTGTTCATCATAATTTCTTTGTGACACTATCAGATCATCAAAAGCAATGTCGTTCCAAAATTGTTCAGTATTCACTTCTTCACCAAAAAACTCTGTAGGTTGTCAGTTCATAAACACATGCTGCTCCAGTGCATGTAGCCATTTCAACACCTCGTCTAACTTGTGTTTTCCACTGCCCCTACCTCTACCATGAGAGCGACCACTGGACGACATACTAGACAAAGATTCGTCTTGTCTCCTAAAATGGTCCCGTACTGGGGATGGAACTGCTTTCCCTTCACCATATACATACTCTTGAAATGACATATAATAACAAGATGTCATCTCACCATCACCCGGTAACATGTTTTGTCTTGGTGGTAGACCCTCCTAAAAAATTAAACATATTAAAAATGCATATAAAAGTATAATAATCAAGTTTATTAATAATAAACGACAAATTTATAAACCTGCATCTTTGACGAAATCTTGTTCACGTCAACCCATTTTAATTTTTTAGTTCCACTCCATCGTTTCATCCGAGGCAAGTATTTATTTTTTTTCAACACAAATCCACATGCACGAACAGCCGGAATCATCTCATATATCCATATCTACAATTTTTTACAATTACAGTAATAAAAGTTAAAATTAAAATAAAAAACTTAACAATAAAACAATTTAAATATTATAATATTTTTATACCCTAATTGGAGCCGTAAATCCTGATACGGAGTACTTTAAAGTTTGACCACGCTCAGAAAGTGATAAATAATGATGTATTTTGTTCCATGTATCCTCAAGGTCAACATAAGTAAAATCCCAAAGATAGCTACCCCAAGTGAAACTAACAAAACAAAAAAACAATATTAGTTTTTATATAAATTATAACTTTAATAAAATATAACTTTTAACGTAAACAAAATATACTTGTTCCAGAGATCCAAATTCTCAGCAAAAAAAAAACCAATCTTGTGGCACCCGATCATTAACTTCTTTACCCAAAAAACCTTCACACATAATGTATATCAAACATACTCTAACTGCATCAACGTCGTCAAGTGCTCCGAATGTTCGATTTAAAATTAAACGTTTAAGGTCGCCGATTTTCACCGAACTATTGGTATGGTCCGGAAATAGCTGTTCACGCAATAAACATCTTTTTTTACTGCTTAATAATTTTTCCGACCCTTTTTTCCCAATGTTTTTTGGATACTCCTCAAAATTGAAGCCGGTTATCAAACAAAACTCTTCCGGCCCATAAACCATTTTCGTATTGCCTACCCGAAAATATAATTGTTTTATTCCATCTGGAGATAAAACAGGGTCCGGCCGGATCTGATGAAGGAACATTTTATGGAACAACAATGCGTCCCCTTGTAAACGAGGGACATCAATAAAATAACCAAACACGGTATTTCTGAAAATGGCACGTCTGACATCATCTAAAACTTTAAATACTTCCCATATGTTACCGCCAGAACCTTTTAAGTTCGCAAACGCTTTCACATTGATAAAACTAAAATCATGCTGCAAAAAAAAAAAACACAAAAACAAATTAGATAACTAAAAAATATTTTGTTTTTAAAATATATGATTACGAACTGTAATACATAAACAATTAGTAATGCAAATACTATTTCTTAATTAATAATTATTTTTATATTTCCGATAAAAAACAATAACATACACATATATAAACAATTTTCCAAGTTATACAACAAATATATTTACGATAAAAAACAATATCATACATAATTATATAAACATTTTATTAAACATATTTTCAACTTAAACAACAAATATATAAATGATAATTTTTCAACTTAAACGACAAATACATACACATTTTTTATCTTTCTAATTATATAAACTAACATTTTATAATCATATAAACAAACAATTTTTCAAATAAAACGACAACCAAATTAACAATTTTGCAAGTTATACGATAACAATTGTTCAACTTATACGACAAACACAACCAATTTCTAACAATATATATACGACAAATTTTCAACTTATACAAATGTTATACTTATAAAATAAATATATATACAAACGACTATTTTGCACATACTATAATTTAACTATTTTTCACTTTATATAACCAATTATACGATAACAATATACAAGTTTTCAGGTTATACAACAACTAAACAAACAACAAAAATAACAAATTCTAAACATTATTTACGCAGTCTCTACTTGTACATTCAAACAAACACTAACAAAATACCATTTAAGCTTCAAGTATACTAAAGAAATATTAAAACTATTAAAATACAACAAAATTACCCTTTTTTTAACACTAAATAATACAATAAATGATAACAAAAAAAAAAAAAAAAAACTTAAACATTTAAAGAGTTAAAATCTAACCATATTCGCCGGATTGTTGACATAATCCTCCATTTTCTTCAAAAACTAGCCAAACTCGCGAAAATACTCCAAAGATAGAGAGAGTTTTTGTGTAGAGAATGGTAAAAATGGAGAAAAAAAAACGTTTATATACCGAAAAATGGGGGATTTCGCAGATGGAGTCTCAATTTCGCAGATGGCATGCTGATTTCGCAGATGGGGCATTTTCATCAGCGAAATTGTTGGCTATTTTTGTAATTTCGATATTTTTTGGTTATTTTTGTAATGTAATTAGTGTAAATGGCTATTTTTATCATTTTATCAAAAAAAAAAATATATATTGTAGTTGCAGTAACCTCTTAGAACACTCAATAGGTCCGCCACTAAAACCATAACCTTAATACTATGTTTTCGACCAGACGATCAATCATATTAACTTTTGTTTATATATTTGAACTTCAATAATAATATAATTGCTCTTTTAGGTGCACACTAATTAATTTTTTTTTTACAAGAATACCAAAAAATCTAGTTGTATGGGACCCCTCAGGACACTTTATAGGTTTTAGAACTTCAATAACAATATAACCTTAATCATACATTTGGAACAACTCAACCATATCAACTTCTGTTTATATATTTGAACTTCAATAATAATATAATTGTTTTTTAGTAGGTACATACTAATTATTTTTTTTACACTAATACAAAAAATCGAATAGTTTTACAGGACCTCTCATGACACTCTATATGTCTACCCCTGTTTAGAATCATGACTTTAAACAAAAACTTTGGACCAACTCAACCATATCAACTTTTATATATATATATATATATATATATATATATATATATATATATATATATATATATATATATATATATATATATATATATATATATATATATATATATATATATATATATATATATATATGATCTTCAATAATTATGTCATTGTTTTTTGATTGTGCATACTAATTAATACTTTTTACACTAATACGAAGAACACTCTACTCATAACACTCTATAAATCTACCCCTTTTTAGAATCATAACCTTAATCTTATACGTATATGTTGGACCAACTCAACCTTGTCAACTTTTGTTTACATATTTGAACTTCAATAATAGTATAATTGTTATTCTTTAGGTGCACACTAATTAATTTTTTTTTACACTAATAGGAAAAAATTGAATAGTTACAGGAACCCTCGGGACACTCTATACTATTTACTCTATAGGTGTGTCCTGATTCATAACATACTATTATAAATATATGAATTTTGAATGTATCTTCATATTGACCAATTCTTGACTTTATTTAGATAAAACAGTTACTTGTGAATCACTATATTATAAAAAAATTTGTTAGCTCATTATATTATAAATACCCATCAGTTAATGAAATACATGCAGCCTTTCACAATCATTTTTATATATATAAAAATCGAAGTTTTAAATCTAATAATTTATTGTATCATTCAAACGCAAATTTTGGCTCGTGTAAGCACTTAGAATAAAATATTACTCAAATAACTTAACCAATAATAATAATAAAAATCAATAACATTATTTATACAATTTATCAGTCATGTAAAAGAGGTCTACAACTCTACATCATATCGATTCTCATACAAAACCTAACTTATATTTTTTTCTTGTCAACAAATCGATCCACGACATATAAACATATCCAAAAGTCCTTTCATTTTAATTTAGTACACTTAAGGCACGGGATATGAATGAAATGATCCCCCTTTGTCTATTTCTTGGTCTCTATTCGTCAAATTTAAGATCTCCAAATGGTCCGTGAATACTTTATAGGCTTCATTTTATTTTGCCAACCTGGATTTAATAGACACTTAAAAGTTAAAACACCCATCACCAAATACACATATTTATACTTTATGACACCAGATCCTTCTTCACAAAACCCATGGCTACCTTTTGTTGCCCAATTGAAACCGAACCCAAGACCTTGAACCAAGTTGAACTCAACCATGCACGGGTACATATATATGATACATCTTCTTCAAAGCATGAACATGTTATTTGTATTCTAAGTTTCAGTTTCTTTTTGTTTGTTATAAACAGGAAGCTGCTGTTGGTGTTTTGAAAGAAAATGAACCATCTGAAGCTTCTCGTATCCTCAATGAGGTCAATAAAGGGGGTGATGTTATTGTTTGTGTGATTAAGAGATTAAAGGTCTTGATTTCATGATATGAATGTTGCAGGGTATGAAACCAGTTATCGGAGTTGAAGAGATGGCAATGGTTATTGATAGAAAGGATTCAATTTACAGGCTTCAAGGCGTGTCTACGACTGGTGAAGCAATTTGCCAGTGTTCGGTGATCGGTGTTGTGTCTACTCCTGATCAAAGTAAATTGAAGGAGCCTTTTTCTGCTCCTTTTTGATCATGTTTATGAGTTGAAAATACTTTGTTATGATCAACTTATGAAGTTTTCTTTTACTTGTTGATGGTTTGCATCATGAAATGATATATGATTATTTACTAGCAAATTCTATATTATGATTCCTTTGATGAGGATCTGACTTTCCAGTGTTTTCGTTTACTTGATGATGATTCCAATTATTTTACAAATGAACACCGTTTTTTAAAAGTATTTGGTAGTAAACCAATGCACATTGGATTCCTTATTTAAATCATTCAAATTGCTTATAATCACAAATGGTTTCATCGACGGGTTAAGACATCCACAATGTATTGACTTATATAAAGTTTAATGGATTGACGTATCATTATTTTACTTTTAATTCAACACTAACATTTTTTTTCCAACAATACATTAAACTCTACAAAGTTGAATGAAACATATTAACAAAAGCATATATTACAAAACCAAATTTATGATGAATGAAACATATTAAAAAAAGCATATATTACAAAACCAAATTTATGACATTTATATAAGGATTAAAAAGTTTACTTTTTCCGTTGAAATTGAAGATGATATTTCATAATAATTGAGTTTACTCCAACGAATGTCAACTAAGGATTTCATATCATTCAACTCTTCCATTAAACTATATAGTTGCTATTAGAGCAAGTATCAAACAAAATGAAACCAAAATAAAATGCTAAATTTTTATTAGACAAAATCAAAAAGGGCCCATTGTTTGTTGTTTTTATTTCTTTGGATCATGTCCAACTTTTAAAATTGTGATTTTGGTCTTTTTTGCCTACTTGTGGATTTAGTCCCTCCACTTAACACACATTAAAAAAAAAAAAAAAAAGTACGTTAACATCCTCGTATGCCCCTTGTGTTTTTGTCTTTTCATTTGTTCCAATGCTCCCTAACCATTACCGCCATAACATTTTATCCAAAGACTATGTTTGCAATTATAATACCATCCATTATCCATAGAAAATTCAAATACAAACCATAAAAGTTCTTCATTGTCTCTGTATTTTGCTAACAATGGTATTTCATATATGGACCATCCATCTATTGGATATACACTTTAACACCGTTAACATATATGGTAAGTTGTTATATCTCCATTAAGTACATGAAATCCATTTCAATTCAAACTCAAATGACAAATCTACTAAATTATAGATTTTGGTTTTGTGTTTTTTTGTTTACCGTGAGCTAATTTTACCTTGTTTTCCATAGAACTTTATCATGGTGGGAGATTTACTAAGGTGTTGTTTGTTTTTTTTTAGAAAACCCACTTCTGACAACTTCTTGCTACGTTGCACATCACATGTAACATCCATAAAATTCATGCCAAATTTAAACTTTCAAAAACATTTAAAATTCCAATAGTTATTACAAAAAGGTTTCCAAAATAGTTTCATATCAGAGTTCCCATAAATCATAATCATAAACCGAGGAAAGTGTACGGTCACGCGTTCGCCTTCCCGCGATCATCCGCCAAACCTGAAACAATAACCGATAAATGTAAGCTCGAAGGCTTAGTGAGTTGCCCCCAAAATACCAACCTCATATAACAATAATCATATCATATCAACAAGTACATAACAACCATGCATCTCGAGTCTGCAGTGTGGTTGGTCCACCCGCACCGGGCCTTCAATCCACCTGGTCCACTCCTTAAGTCTACAGTAAGACTGGACCACGTGCATCGGGCCTTCAGCCTGTCTGGTCCACTCTCTGAGCCTCGACACGTCTGGATCGCCCTCTCGGGCCTTCCGCCTATCCGGACCGCTCGTTGGGCCTTCGATCTGACTATGTGCCCTTTCAGGTCTACAGTTTATACGGTCCACCCTGGGTATGTTGGCCTACAGCACAAAGCAGAACCCGCCTTAACCCAACCCCCATACCAAACAATCATGTGCACATGATAATCACATAACATGACCATATATAACAAACCGATCTAACAGATCATATAGCATAGCAACATCCTAACCAGGATACCGACCTAACCGGATCACTAACATATTACCGCCCTAACTACCATGACGTAGATCTAAAGGACTCAAAACCATGCCCAACAATTACCAAAACACAATCCGAGAAAGGGCCGACCTTGGTGCCTTTGACCCTTTTTGATATAGTGAGGATAACTCACCTTGCAATGCAGAACTGAAAAGATAAGATCAAATCCTTCGATCACTGCCACGAACTCCACCGCCTACACTTTGATGAAACCATATCTATAAGTGCCCAATTTACCAGAATACCCTTGGAAGTCAAAATGGTCAACTCTTGGTCAAAGTCAACCTTCCTGGTTGACCCTACTCGTCGAGTCATCCTAGTGACTCACCGAGTTCATGAACTCAGAACCCCACAATTCGCGATTGGACTCGCCGAGTCACCCCATGACTCATCGAGTCCTTCAATCCAAGTCGTAGCCTGATCAACTCATTGAGTCCACTCAACTCACTGATCCGCATCATGACCCGATGGGTTAGGGTTTGCCACCCAACTCATCGAGTCTAAGAACAGAATCGTCGAGTCCACTTAAGTCATCCCTATTCAGACGATTCCAGACCATCTCACTGCTTCTAACTCATAGATCTGGACTCCTAAGGCTAGATTTACACATAAAGTTTCCAACTTTACATGCAAACAAGGTGATTTTGGCTCAATACAAGCTAGAGGGAAAGTTCAAGACAAGAATGCTCTCATTTATGCACCAAGGTTGATGCTTTATGCTTCCATGGACCAAAACTAGCCTATATCTAAAGTTGCAACCTCAAATCTAGTCCCAAAACCCGAAGTGGATCCCAATCAAGCTAAAAAGCCCCAAAACCTCAACCATGAATAGATCTAAAAGGGAAAAGCTCAAGGTAACATCTTGTTACCTCAGAAATGTGCCTAAGATGAAGTAGATTTTGGATCTACAATAACTCCTTGATGCTAGCCTCTTGATCCACAACCTTCCTTCACTATATTCCTCTTCCAAAGCTCAATTCTCTTCAACAATGGAGGTTTGCACGTTTTAGGGTTTACTGGCTCTCAAAGAGTAACAAGGAGGCTGGGGTGAGGACTTAAGGTCCTTTAAATAGGGCGCAAAACCTAAAATTAGGGTTTTGTCTTCCCAGCATCGACTCATCGAGTCCAGCCACCGACTCGGTGAGTCGGGTCACTTAACACGTGCCCATCACCCGCTCTGTGACAACCCGAAATTTACATTCTGTACAAACTATATCACTTCAATAGAAGTTATAGCAGTCACAGTTCATTTTCAGACTTTTCGTGTAAGTTTGAGTAATTTAAGGTTTACACTTCAGGAAATATCAGGAAAGTGGGTGCACTAGGGTTTTGTGCAACATTGTTATTCCAACACTCTATTATATTAGAGATCATTTCAGGAATACAAATATTTTCTGCCAAAAATATCTCAGGACTATAAATACAATTCTGAACCAAATTCATTCATTATTCGCATTTCCAACTAGAGAAAAGCCATTTTCTCTCTCACGAATCTTCGGGTTTTTATCCCAAAACGTGAGTACCTCTTGCTAGTAGTGTTAGATAGCTTAATATGTGTTTATAACATGATTTAGATGGCTAAATCACTAGATTTAGGAGTTTACTCCCCAAGGTGTTCTTGGGCGGTAAACTCCCGAAACAAAGCCTAGACCTGTCCCCGTGATATGATACTACTTTGGGCTTGTATAGAAGTGTAATAGGGACAAGAAAACAACCAAGAAACACACATGTATGGGTGTTCACGGACCAAGATGATCTTGGACCGTGAACTCCAAAATCATGCACAAAAGGGTGCTTTTAAGGCACCTAAAGCCTTAGGCATTTACATAGACTTGTTCCCATTTAATCAAGGGCCTTAAACACATCAAGAACACCCCTCAAAGTGAGTTCACGGCCCTAATAAGGTTCTTGGGTCGTGAACATCAAACAAAGGCACCAAAGTGTGCCATAGGCCTTGATATACTTGGAATAAAAGTTTGAGACCTATACTACATGTGAATAAGACTTGAAAGCATCAAAAACACCCATCCTTAAGAGTTTACGGCCGAAAAATCTAAGGGAAATGTCCTTAGGGCCGTAAACTCCTCAAAGGGGTGTTTCTATGCCTTAAACCCTTCCAAGAATTTAACCACCAAGTTGGAATAATTCTAGGGATCATTTGGGACTTCAAAACACAAAATATCACCAAGATTGCGAGTTCACGGCCGTAAAATCAAGAGTTTACAACCGTGAACTCCATGTGTGATTATGTATGGAGAGTAAACTCAAGTATAGGGTCCTTTGGAACCCTAAACCCAAGTACCTTGTCCCACAATAGCTTAGATGCAATCCTTGTTGGATAAGGTGTCTAAGTCCATAACTTATTTGGTATATACTTGACCCGACCCGGCATGGTCCATTTGGGTTGCATCTCATCCAAACTATTTATGGATAATTTTATGAGAGTTATACACATATGATTATTAATATATTATAAGTTATAATATATTAATATGAAGTCATGTTATTTAATTAGTCTTAGTCTTAAATTAATTATGAATTAATTTAGAGATTAAAAGGAAGACTAATTAGATTGTGGGCTATTGGTTTTATATGGTGTGGGCTAATACTCATTTGTTAATGGGCTAGGCTTGTATGGAAGTCCATGGAGCTTTTAACCCATGGATCCTTGGAAAAGGAAAGGTCATGGGTTATTAGGGTTTCACCCTAATCATGTACACTATATAAGCATGCTTATGTTGCATGAAATAGCCACTAGAAAGTGTAACTAGTGAACTAGTGTGTGTGAGCTTGTGTGTGGCCGAAATATACAAGTGTATACACTCTCTCAAAGTTTTCCAAGAGTTTGTGGTGTTTTGTGATTCCATTTGAGGCATTCACACTATTGGTGCTTGGCCCTCAAACTCCTCAAGAACCAAACTCATCAAAAAGGTATGTAATCTCTTCTAACTCTTTATGTTGAAATGTTCCCCATGCCATGTTAGATAGGTTATAAACCTTGGAAAATTATTATTTTGCATGTATTTAGACAAACATAGATCCAAGGTTTATTAGGGTTGCATGCACACTTAGGAAGTGTTAGATTGCTCAAAACCCAACAGTGGTATCAAAGCCTAGGCTTGCTTGTTTGAATACTTGATGCAAATTGCTGAAAATCGAAGATTTTATGCTATCTGCACAG